AAAGACTAGTGCCGTAATCCAAAAAAGGAAAAAGTGTGGTTGCAAAAGTGGTCGCAAAGGTAATTGTGACCACTTTTTATATGCCGTAAATACAATTACTATAGTGCAGGACACCTAGTCCCACAACTTACTGCGCCACGACGACAGATTTGGGAAAAAATTCCTAATCAAAAATGCAATAAAAATGGAGCGATCACGTGCTTTCAGAAAGTTAAAAGGACCGTGACCACAGACGATCATTCCATAAATGGGAAAAATCAGCAATAATAATAATAATATAATGTTAACGGGAATATTTATTTAATGATTGGAGTTGTTTATATAATTAAAGAGTTGTTACAAAAGGAAATTATTCATGAGTTTAATAAATTTAATATTAAAGATTAAAAGCATAATCCCATTTGAGAATTAGAGATGGAAAACTTCAATAATGTTCTTTGCCTTTCTTGATGGATGTATGTGTGTATATATATAATTAATGAATAAAGAAAAGTGGTTGAATATAAATGATTCACATATAATGAAAAAAATAACAATAAAAAATATAATACTTAATGGATAGGACCTCACATCTATACAAGTCAACAATTTTTTAAAAAAAATTATATTTACCCAAGTATGTAATTATTTATTAGGTAAATTGATATTAATAATAAAAATGATTTAAAACCAATCAATGATATATAATTTATTATTATTATTCTATGCAGCAACAATAATGTTATCTAATAATAATTTATTATTATGTCAACAATTCACCAGATGCAATCTCATATATTATTTTTTTCCTGAAATATGGTAATAATGATTGATTAAACAATAAAGGCGCTTGCCTACTAATGTGTTCAATGAAAGCTAATGTAAAAACACCACAATCATAAGAATTTTTTTGTTGTGGAACTTTCTAATTATATATATATTAGTAATGAAATAGTGATTTATTAGTGACTAATGGAATAAATTTTCAAATAAATAAAATATACGATATTACATACCTTCAATCTTGGATTTTCTGCCCAACTGTTGAAATCAAGATTTGCATTTTCACCTTTCTTATTTTGACATTCGTTAATTAAATATTCTTTTACTTCCTTAAAATATATATATATGTCAGTTGAAGTATATAAAGATTAATTAAAAAAAACAAATAATGTAAGCATTCTTTTTTATGTGTACATTGATTACGTCCATGCCTTTTGCTGTTCCTCCACCATACATTGAATCAATATAATCTATCCTAAAAGCTTGAAAATCAACAAGACATAAAGACCAGTGTGCTCCACTATGTATTGGTACAAATAATAAATCTTTTGAAAAGATATCAACCTAATAAAAAAAATATTTATTTAGATATATAACACACATACATCCATCAAGAAAGGCAAAGAACATTATTGAAATTTTCCATCTCAAATGGAATTATACTTTTAATCTTTAATATTAAATTTATTAAATTCATGGACAATGTATATGCTATTTTTGTTATCATGTATTATTCATGTAACAACTCTTTGACTCTCTAGTCATTAAAAATAATACTCTTTTTTATATATCTTCGTTATATTAATCATTATTATTGTTGTCTATTTCTCCCATTTATGGATTGATCATGATCGAAAAAATTTATTGCATTTTTGATTAGGGAAATTTTTTCTCAAATCTGTGGTAGAGGCGCAGTAAGTTGCAGGATTAGGTGTCTTGCACTATAAATAATAATAATTATTATTATTTGTCAATCACATCCAAATACAATACAATTTCTTAAATAGGGAATAAACACACTGGTCTTGGGGAAATTCTTGCTCCTAGTAAAAAAAAAATGGAT